TTTCCTGTTGCACTGGAGACTTTCCAAGTTATTGAATAACATGTGTTTCCTTTAATAATCAGCTTGAAAAAGACTGGGATATTTTCTTAATCTTTTTTAGAAATCAGTATATTCAAACTAGAAATTGAGTAACACTTTAATATCTTGATGGCAGACTTAAATAGCAAATAATAAGGGCATTAGTAAATAAAGAAATTCCTGTTCTTAACTTTTAAATACAAAGAAAACCAAACTAATGACAATGTAGAACAACCAACTTTAGATGTGACAATGAAAATATCAAAGTTAGCTTCCGCTATTAGAATCAACCATCAACAATAAAGGAAAAAGCAGCCAAGAAATAAACACAGTCTAGCACTTGGAAAATATATTCAAATGCTGTGAGATGTCTATATCAGGGGTGAAATGCTCCTGGATTGGACTGGATCGCCTGGTCTGGTAGCAATATTGGCTGGTGGTTCGGCGATCCAGTAGCGATGGCAGAGTGAAGCTCCTCCCACCGGCCCGGGTGTCATTACTTCCTGGTTTTAACCAGGAAGTAATGTGTCTGCATGTGCGCATGATGCGCATGCGTGCAAACTGAGCACGTGCATGGCGCATGCACTTTCAAACCGGTGAGGTAGATAAGTATATTTCACCCCTAGTCTATATCTGCAAAGATCAGAATTGTGCAACCCATGGTATTTCCCATGACACTCTATGGAAATAAAAGTTGGACTTAAAAGAACCACAGAAAACAAGCCAATGAATCACTGAATAAAAACATCCTAGAGTTCTCACAAAATGCACAAATTATTTTATTTTGGACATATTATGCAAAGACCCAACTCTCTGGAAAAAGTTCCAATGTTCCAAAAGTTCCAATGGGAAAGGTAGAAGGAAATAATTGGGAGGCATATTGGGAGACATAAAAGAACAAGTTAGAGTTAGAATGTCTTTGCAACATCTATCTATGGGCTAACTAGAAGTCAAAAGTACTTAATGTCACATAACAAAAAAACCCACTCAGGTTTGTAAAATTGAATGGTATTACAACATAGGAAATATGAAGTTTAGAAATACTCATTAAAATATTACCATAAAGAGACTAAATATCAGCATTCCAAAGCATAGTATAATATAAAAACTGTTGTGTTTTAAATAATAATAGCCTTGTTAAAATATTTAACAAGGTTGGGCTGGTTTAATAAAAAGGATATCAAATAAAGCAATAATAGGCACAATGATGGTAATGAAGAAGACCTTGTATGTATGGTCTGGTCTGCATATACTAAATTAGCTGGATATCTGTGCTTCACTACAAAACTATGTGATGCGGCTTGATAAATTGACACTTAGAGTTTGAAAATTAATGAGTAGTTACAATCGGCCTTTCCTCTCTCCTTCTCTCCCTCAGGCTAGCTCCACAGAAGCCTCTCCTCTCCTCTCTCCTTCTCTCCCTCAAGCTTGCCCCATAGACCTTCTCCACTCCCCTTCTCTCCCTCAGGCTTGGCCCCACAGAAGCCTCTAGTCTCCACTTTTCTCCCTCAGCCTTGCCCCACAGAAACATCTCCTATCCTATTCCCTTCTCTCCCTCAGGCTGGCCCTATAGATCCTCTCCTATCCCCTTTTTCCCTCAGGCTTGCCCCATAGATCCTCTCCTATCCCCTTCTCTCCCTCAGGCTTGGCCCCATGGATCCTCTCCTATCCCCTTTTCTCCCTCAGGCTGGCCCCATAAATCTTCTCCTCTCCCCTTCTCTCCCTCAGGCTTGGCACCCTAGATCCTCTCCTATGCCCTTCTTTCCCTTAGGCTTGCCCCATAGAAGCCTCTCTCCTTCTCTCTCTCAGGCTGGCCCCACAGAAGCCTCTCCTATCCCCTTCTCTCCCTCAGGCTGGCCCCATACATCCTGTCCTCTCCCCTTTCTCTCCCTCAGGCTGGCCCCATAGATCCTCTCCTATCCCCTTTTCTCCCTCAGGCTGGCCCCATAAATCCTTTCCTCTCCCCTTCTCTCCCTCAGGCTTGGCACCCTAGATCCTCTCCTATGCCCTTCTTTCCCTTAGGCTTGCCCCATAGAAGGAGAGAGCTTGTTTCTCTCCTTCTCTCTCTCAGGCTGGCCCCACAGAAGCCTCTCCTATCCCCTTCTCTCCCTCAGGTTTTCTAGCCCCTTCTCTATATGAGGCTTGCCCCATAGAAGCCTGTCCTATGCTATCCCATTCCCTCCAGAAATATTTTCAAGTTGGGAGGGGGAGTAGAATGTCTAACTAATTAGTATCAGAGCATGTTATAATAGTATAGGAAATACTAATGCTCTGATGGTCAGTTCAAAAAATCCTTTCTTAGTGAACACGTAGAAGCCAAGAGGAACATACGTGGCAAATTTCAAGTTTGTAGGCTTTATGGTTCTGGAGGAATGTGCCCCAAATCCTGAACCTATGACTATGATAACGGAATGAAATCTGGGAAAGTTGTGGCTGCTTCAGTATTATTAGCTTTTGCTGTTTCATGACTTTCATTTCAACCGTCATTTTGTGACAGTTTCTCAGCCAGTCTCTCAATCCCTTCCTCTCTTCTCCACTGAGCAGCAGTTAGAGTAACAGTGATGTGACTTATCTCCCTGGGGGTGGGGATGGGGTGAGTCTGCCTATCAATATGTGGTGAACCAGTTGCTTTCATGGTGTGGAGACAATAACTTGGTCCTTAACACCAACAAGACCAAGGAGCTTATAGTGGACTACAGAAGGAATAGATCAGACACCCAGCCCTTGGTTATCAATGAAAACCAAGTGGAGCAAGTGGCTAGTTTTACATTTCTGGGTGTTATCATAAAAAGGACCTGATCTGGGGCACTCACATTTCAGCACTGGTCAAAAGGGCCCAGCAGAGATTACATTACCTGAGACTTCTCAGGAAACAACAACTGAATGAAAAACTGCTGGTGACCTTCTACTGCTGCATCATAGAGAATATTTTAACTTACTGTACCTGTGTATGGTTTGCCAATAGCACAGTGGCAAATAGGACAGCGCTCCAGAGGGTTAACATCATTGCCCAAAGGATCATTGGTTGCCCTCTTCCCTCTTTGGAAGAGCTTTATAGCTCCCGCTACCTTAAAAATGTTCAAAACATTCTTAAAGAGCCATCTCATCCTGGGCACCCTTTTTTTGAACTATTACCATCAGGCAGACAGTACAGGACAATAAAAACAAGGACAAATAGGCTGAAAAAACGCTTCTATCCCACAGCAATAACTATATTGAATTCTACTGTATAGTGCAATATTAATGCAGTATCAGGGGTTTTCAATTCAATTGTATAGAATTTAAAGGATATGTGCTTTTGTTTTATTTTTTATAAATAATGTACAATGAAGATGGCATTTAATTTCATTGTACGGGATGCAATGACAATGATGTATTTCTATTTATTTACCTGCCTCCTAGAATGGAAGGGGGAGCGGAAAGGGAAAGGGAAAGGGAAGGGAAAGGAAGATTTCTGATGATCCATGGAAATATTTAAGAAACAATGACCCAATAGGGCATGCGTTGTCTAGTATCTTATGTGCATCTGAAACAAAACTTTGCATTACTTCCTTGCAATGTATGATCAGGTTTTTTCTTCCAAATATTTCATCCTTCATTCTCAAAGTTTTCTATACTCTGCCATTGAGTGGCACTTGTCTGGCAACTGAGTAACATGCCTACTCAGAATAGTTATGATGTTATTCCAGATGTTACTTTTGGATTCTTTTCACTTGGAAAGAAAGGGCTAGTTAGTAAGCGGGACAATTATATTTGGCCTTCTGCTTTCCATTGCCAGAAATAGCCTCTGCAGAAATCCCTTGTAATGTCTGCAGCAAAACAGCAAATCCTTTTTGACCTGTCTTTTGAAGAAATGCATCATTTTTGTCCCAGAGTTCTCCCTTGAAAAAGCATTACAATAAAACCTTTGTTGGAATAACAAACTGGCTTTTCGAACATACTCAAATCTTTTTTTTATGGGCAGGACAGGTGCTTTTTAATTTATATAAACATTAAGTGGCAATTCTTGGCTATTCTTAAAAGATAATCAGGGAGATATTGGATCTCCATTTGGATGGGAGATCACCAATAAGTTCTAGAATCATGGGAAAAACTGGAAAGTTGAATTAAAAAAATAGAGAGCGGTAAAAGGAAAGCCCTTCATGTTGAGACCATAGAATCACAAAGAAACAGAGTGAGTATAGAGTCCCTTGAGTCTTTAACATTCTAGTTTGTATGTTTTTAAGGGGTTCAATTAAGCATGCTGCCCTGCCTAGATGTGGTAGCCAGGCTCACAATTTATATCAATGTCAGATTTAACAGTTACAACAGTAACAGAGTTGGAAGGGACCTTGGAGTCAGCTGTGTGGCAGTGTGAAATGCTCCTGTTTAAAAATCCTAACCAATGAAGTAGTGCTATTTACTAGGCTCCCATCAAAAAATGATACATCATGATCTTTATTCCCATTGCACTGTTAGTACAATGGAAAGATAAGACTGTGGAATTGTTTTGGGCAGATGACAGTTTCACTGAAAGGGATGAACTGGGATAGTTGTTCTCCCTACTGGCTAAAAGTATCTGAAAATCCAGATTAAGAGATTCCATTTGAATTCTGCTTTGATACCAAAAGTGGATTGTCTTAGAGCCAGGCAACAACACTAAGCTTTAGAGATACATTCTTACAACAACCCCAAAAGAAATGCATCTACAAGCCCTCCCCATCTTTCATTAAGTGAGTATGTGAGAAATCGCTGGATTCAGGCAGTAGCCAGATGACAGAGAATGGAGCTATCGGTAGTTATCCGAAGTTCAATATAACTTCCATCACTCGGTTTTTTCTTGGCATTCCACCAGATACTTCGCTATTACCCACCCCGCTTCCTGGTAACGCGGAGTTCGCAGCGCCAGTGTAGAATCGCTGATCGCGACAAGCGATTGGTGTCAGGAGCCGGGGGGGGGGGGGAGAGAAAGTTAAATCATACCCCCAAGCTGAAATACTCAACGACGATCTTTTCCAGACAGATCTGTCATCTCTGCCATCGCTTTTTCCAGATCCCCTCGGATGGTGCAGCAGAAACTACGGTAAAACCAGAGGAGGCGTTAGGTAAGTAGCCTTACGAGCAAATTGGGCCCCGGTCCTGCGGGGAAGCTGCATTGCGGCTGGGGAGGGAGAGAGCGCGCGCGAGGCGGTCAGAAAGAAGGTGAAGTAGAGGGGTGGCGAACCTTCGGAGGGGAAACTATGGTGAAATAGAAACCGCGTCGGCTCGCTTATGGCGAGCAAGCAACGCGCCTTTGAAAAGAGATGACATAACAGCTACCCCAGCGACCCCCAATAGCGAGGTAAGTACAGTCTGCCGCACTGCGCGCGCGCGCAACTTCTGCTAAAGGGGAAAAAGGATCGAGGCAAGTCCGAAGCAGGCGGTGATTTTTTTCCAGCTGTCGCAATGACGGAGGAGCAGGTGGGCGTGGCTTCAGTTTTGTCACAGTCTCTTGAGGCAGTCTTCCTTCATAGAGTGCCTTTCGTAGATATAGTGGAGCGGGGTTGCCGTTCTGTGGTCCTTCAGGCCAGGTTTGAGCACTTCTCCAGCGCAGCCAGCTGTGGTAGGTAAGGTTGGCCTGGTCTGAGCATTCAGGGTTCTGTGGAATGTATGAGCATTGTGCTATTCAATGGGGTTCATTCCGGATTGTATTGTGCATAAGATTGCAACCTCACAGTATTATTCTGAGGAGTGGACTTTATTTCAATTCTCACTGAATGTGATATGTTTCCCCAGGTGAGTGTAAATTAAGCCAGTGCTATTCAACTTTGGCAACTCTTAAAATGGAGGGACTTCAAGTCCCAGAATTCCCTAGATAGCATGTTGGGGGAATTGAAAAATTCTACAGAATTCTAACTCAGAATTTTTCAGCCAGCATTGTGGGAGATGAAATCCATACATCCTTGCCAAGATTGTGAAAATCCTAAAATGGGGTATTCCTGGGTGCAATACAGGTAGTTCTTGACTTCCAATCATAATTTTTGAGCCCAAAATTTCTTTTGCTAAACCAGACATTTGTTAAATGAGTTTTGCCCCATTTTATAACCTTTCTTGTTAAGTAAACCATTGCAGTTGCTAAGTTAATAATAGGTTTTAAAGTGAATCTGGCTTCCCCATTGTCAGAAGGTTGCAAAAAGTGATCATAAATAGATGCCAATTGCCAAGCTGGCATCTTGTCTGAATTTTGATCATGGGACCATGGGAATGCTGCAAGAATGGAAAAACAGCCATAAATCATTTTTTCCCAATGTCATTGTAACTTCCAATAGTCGTCAAACAAATTGTTGTAAGTTGAGCACTATCTGTACTCCTCTTGCTTTTTGTTTATGGCAATGGAAGCTAGAGCCAAAGCAAAAATACAGTGTACTCAGATTCATTGTGTCTAATATCCTCCTAAAATTTTGGCTATAACTGTCAGGCAATCATTGGTCAAACATTCTGGAAACTAATATGAGATTTGTGATTGGTAGCAAGTTGTTCTTTGTTGCTAAAAGCTGGGTCTTTTGGAGGTAGGACAGTGTAATTTTGGGGTGATAGTCTAGCCATGTGTGTGTGTGTATATGTAGGTGCAGAAAAAAGCTGTTCAATTCTAATTCAAGTAAAAGTGTATTTTCAGATTACTGGAATTTATTTTCAGATAATGAATATTTGCTTTATTCATATTTTATAGGGCTGCTCAGGATTTTGGATTTAATCTCCAGAAGATAATTTTGGAGTGTGCTGGAACTAGCAAGATGGGTGGTATATAAATTAAACAAACAAAATTGAGTTTGGCTCTGTCTGCAACATTAACACATCTGCAAATTTGCTTTGAATTGCATGACAGTTCTGGAAAATGTTTGAGAAAAAGGTGCTTTTTTCAGGTTGACATGATGCACTTTTTTAATGTTCACAAAGAACGTGATTTTTTTTCTTGGCTTCCCAATAAACTTGGAAAAAGTATTTCTGCTGTTTTAAGGAATTAACTAACTAATGTTAATTAATGTTTAAAGCCATGGATGGCAGCTTTAAACGATGTTTAAAAATGGTGCTACTTTAAGAAATAGCAGAAACTCATTTAATATCCAAAGCACTTCTTTTGAATTATTTCCAAAGTTGTACAGTAAAAAAGAATACCCAAAGTATGTCAGAGATATGGTTCTAACATGAATTGTATTTTTTTAATATATATATATATATATATATTAAAAGTCCAAAAGTCTTTCAGGTGTAATAAATTCTGGCTGGCTTTACTAATATGAATCATTTTGCAGCTACTGCTGTGTAAGCATCTCCTGTCATTCTACTTCCTCTAAAATGAGTTTCAGACCCATTTATCAACAAAAGACAAGAATGCTACAAGTCAATGCTGGATCATTCAAGCTCTTACAGTTAATCCTAACTTATATTTTATTATATGGTCTAGAATTTCAAATGAGCCTTGTTGTTAAGTGGGGTGAATGCGGACGCAGCACGACAGGCGGTGTGTGACAACAGCTCTTTTTATTAGAGTGAGAATCCAGCAATTGACCTGGGGAAACAGCTCCCCTTATATACCTTGCAGCTGTGGCAGTCAGCCAATCAGCTGATGGCTAGTTAACTCAAACTTCCCACCAAAATCTTTATACATAACACCCCTCCCTTCCCAGAAGTAACTTGGGGTGTATATTAACATATGTAGTCACGCAAGTGGCCAGGGTGTGCCTGCACTCTAGTTGACCTGCGCAGTTCAGTCGGAGGTGTGGCGTTGAGCGGGTTGGAGGGACTTCCCGTTTCTCCCCGCTCCGCCAATGGAACCTCCTGGACTTCGCTGTGGGTGTTGCCCTCTTCGGCCGTTCGTTCCTCCTCGAGTATGCGGCGCTGGACCCTGAGTTCTGCAGCTAAGTCTTCGGTTTGCATCGGGCTTGAGCTAGCTGTGGGAATCAGATTGTAGTCAGGGATCGGATCATCACAGTTACAATTTAGTTCGGCGGCTATGCGTTTTTGCAATTGGTTGATGTATCTGCGCCAAATCCCCCCGTCCCCCATATCCACTCTACATGATTTGGGACCCCCTCTCCATAATTCCTGGCATAGACTGGAGTCCCTTTTGTGAAACCCCGCAGCTTTCTCTCCGTTTCCCTGAGACTGTCGGGGGAGTAGTTGGGGTGTAGCCTATCCATGATGCATTGGAGCTTCCTTCCCATTAGTAGTTCTGCTGGGCTACGGCCTGTGGCGGTGCACGGTATGGTGTGTTGAGCTGTTAGGAATTTATCCACCTATGCTTGCCCTGGGCCTAGTCATGAGAGAACTTCCTTAGTCGTTCTCACAAATCTCTCAGCCAATCTGTTACTAGCTGGATGAAATGGGGCAGAGAGTACGTGGCTGATCCCCAATTCTGCCAAGTACCCCTCAAATTGTGTGGCCGTGAACTGTGGCTCGTTGTCGGAGACCAAGGTGTCTGGTAACCTGTGGGTGGCGAATAGCTTCCTTAGCTCCCTGATCACCGCGTCGGTGGTAGTGGCTTTCATTAGCTTAATCTCCAGCCACTTTGAAAAGGTGTCGACTACGACCATGAATATTTGCCTGTGAAAGGGGCCTGCGAAGTCTATGTGGATTCTAGACCAGGGACCCTGTGGTCGCTCCCACTCCCTTACTGGTGCTGTCGGGGGTTCTGGCCTAGACTCTTGGCAGGGCTGACACTTCCCCACCCACTCAGTGATGTCTTTGTCCATTTGGGGCCACCACACGTAGCTCCTAGCTAATCCCTTCATCCTCACGACCCTGGGGTGCCTCTCATGCAACAGTTTCAAAACCTTTTCCCTTAGGCACAAGGGAACAATGACCCGATTGCCCCACAATAGACAGCCCTTGCATTGTTAACTCATCCCTTTTGTTAACAAATTGTTTGAATTCCCCGCCCTCAGGCTTTTCCAGCCATCCCCTCGTGACCCAACTCGTGACTTTCTTAAGCATGTGATCTTTGGTTGAGGCCCTTGCCACTTCTGCAGAAGTAAGGGGCCCCGAGTCCAAAACATCAATAAGCAGGACTGGAACTCCGGGTATTGGGTCTTCTATCATGTCCGGCAGTGGGCATCGGCTGAGGGTGTTGGCGTTGCCCATGCTCACCCCTGATCGGTGTACCAGGCGATAGGAGTAGGCTGCTAAAAAGATAGCCCAGCGTGTCATCCTGGGTGACAAGGCAGCAGGAGTAGGCCAGTCCCCTGCCAGGAAAAGTGGGCGATGGTCCGTGATGAGGTCGAACTCCCTGCCAAACAGGTACTCGTGGAATTTTTTGACTCGCGAGATGGCTGCAAGGGCCTCCTTGTCTAGCTGGCTGTAGTTGCATTCGGCGCTAGACAGGGTTCGGGAGTAGTACGCCTCTAGACCGTTTGGTAGTCTATGGCTCAGGACGGCTCCCACGCCAAACCCTGCTCTTGTTTTTGTTTTGTTTTTGCCTAGGATTACTATAGGTAATCACTGCAAGGAGAGAAAAAGTAGGCTTTATCAAAAACCTGAACTGATCCATTGGTCAGCATTATTGAAATTTGGCCAAGAATCACTTTGGGCCGAAATATACTGGTTGTTTGCTAAGGGACGTATCTAGATGGAGATTGATACAGAACTATTTCCATTGGAGTTTTGGCAATTTGAGAAGATAAATCCTAATGCTGTAATTATTGGACCTGATGAATTACTGTGCTCCAGTGTTTATTTGTGGTTGGTAGCCAAATTGGAAGAATAGTACTGTTCTGAGCAGAAATAATTTTGCAATGGTACTAAAGAAGAGAAGACAGTGATGCCTCTAGCCCTGTTTTGGAATAGGGAGACTTAGCTGTCAACATCCAAACAATAGCAATAGCAAGCAACAGCTGGAATACTGTTTCATTGACTTTAAGATCAGTGACAATGGCCATTCCAATCAATGACCAAATAACTGATTCTATACCAAAAACAGCTGAGCTACCTTTCCTCAGCTACCTTTCCTCAGGAGATTTAACATAATTTGCTATGGATTAAATAGAGACCACATTTTTCCTCACAATATACGTGATTGTCGGATGCTAGCGCAATGGGTTTGTGTTATACATAATTACTGCTTGTAAAT